TCCTCCTCTCTGTCCTCCTTTTTTCATTCTTGTCCCCTCATTCTCTCACCTCTCCTCGCTCAGTTTTTCTCCCCTGTTACTCTTCCGCTCCTTACATCTCCCTTTCCCTGCTTTTCGGCCCCTCTCTCCTCTCTGCTACCTTTTTCCCACCCATCTTCGTCTCATTACTTCTCCTCACTCCTCCTTTCACAATTTCTCTCCCCAGTCTTCCTCTCCTCTCTAGTGAATGACAGGACAAATGAGGGTGGAGAAAAAGCGAAGGCAAGAAAGAAATAACAGACATGGCAGGAAAAATAAAGACAAGGACAGAAAACAGACAGGACGCATCACAGCCTCCCTTTCTCATCTTTACTTAGTGTGTATTAGTGATTATCGTCTCCTCTCTCCTTCCACTCTCATTGAGGAATAATGTCTGGAATAACCTTCAGCGCTGCACCCCCGACTCCAGTGGACCCCCCTCCTTCACCACCACTTCCATTTTATCCCCTTGTTCACATTTGAAGCGGTCGTTGTATGGATTATGGCCCCTCTCATACTTGGCACTGCACTCAACGCCTGAGATATATTATCATATTAGTGGAGAATGATGTAATGCATTTCAAGACATTTGTCCTTCGCACACCCTCTGTCCCTCCGCAGATGATGTCACTGGCTTTGTGTCTCGAAGGCAGAGAAGTTGTCAAGTGGCTTGTGGGGTTTTTCTGCTTGATGCTGTCGCCATCTTATGGTGGGAGAGTGGAATTGGGCGATGAGTGGAAAAGAAGGCAAGGGGGTAAATTAGGATGTAGGCAATTATTTATTACTGAACCAGAGGATAATGTGACTCATAATAGACGTCCTTGGTGTAACTGTACTGACGTGGTCTGTTGGGTCAGGGACAGAAGAAAAGAGACAGACACTTTGGATATGACTTGATTACAAATCAGGGTTTGACCGACATGCATTTTTGGAGCTTGTTGCCAATGACAGGATGTTTGTATTAAAGTTGTTTATAGCGGGATATAACATAATCTATATCTTTTAATTTGATCATATTCACAAATAAATTATGAAAATGTATTTTTTTTAAAACATTATAGTCAGTGCTTTATCCATTGCAACAGAGAAACAAACCATAAGCAAAACTTAAAAGTGAATTTGGAATATTAAAAAAAAAATCTACCAACCAAGTCTGGTGACAAGGAAAATAAAAGGAATGCGAAAGAAAGAAAATCTGTGGCCAAACTATGTTTAATCTGATCATATCTGATTAGAAACAGTCCAAGCTGTGTTATTGATGTTGTTATTGATCATGTAGCTATATAATTATCTAACTTTATTTATTCATGTAGTGATTTGAGAGTAACAGGAGAAACTTGTCTGAGAGAACAAGAAAACACTCATAGACAACCATGCAGACAGCATATAAGAATAACACAAATAAGGCCAGACAACCAATGATCGAATGACAAATAGTTAATCAAAAAACCTGCAAGAGTCATAAAAATATCAGACAGTAAAGCTTTAAAATCTCCAAGGAGAGTGAAAGACTCTAGCCAGAGGGCAGTCTGCAGTTTACAATAAATATTTAATCAAACGAGTAAGCATCCCGCCACAAGGGAGGACTTACTGCAGCCCAGCATACTGGTCTAAATATATAATATATACATACTGATGAATAAAGATCTATAGTATGTCATTCAATTTTTTGCAAAATGGAAATGATTCAAGATTAAATCTTAGTGTGAAAATGTTGGACATTTATGGGTCCCTAAAAAAAGGGATGAAGTGGTACGACAGGTTAAATGTGACTATATGAAGAAATGAAGAGCAGCCTTTACTGCTGTTTATGCAGAATCATCTCACAATTATCAAAATCAAAGACATATAAGCTACAAAAGCAAAAATGTGCTACTAGGCCTCAATTAATCTTTCTCCTACTCTCTATGCAATGTGTTCAGCTCTTCTATGCGGAAATACTGCCTGGCTCCACATTTGCATTGCTGCAAAATTAATTACACACATTAATTTAGGAATATACAACATGAAAGCACAAAATGGGAGTTGTGATGATCTTAAAACTAGATCTGAAGGCCTTGTTTTCTGTTTTATGCCAGAATATATTTTGAACGCAGGACCGCCAGAATATATTTTGAACGCAGGACCAGCTTCACTACTAGATAGGGCCTCAAGACGTTATCATGTCAGCTTATGTTCTGCTTTAATGGTGCATAGTCCCAAACAAATATTCTTGGTGATCCTAATACTGGAGTACTGTGGTTATTGGAAAAAGTTGTTCTGCCCTTAATTAAGCACTAAATCATGGCCTGAGTGGATAAAGGTGCAGAGTGCATGCAGTCGGATAATGACTTTGTGCATTATCATATCATCTCCATAATGCAGATGCCTTCCCGTCACAGATACATTTATCTGTGATTGTCTTGCACTGAAGCATCCATGTACTGTACATGTTTTTAAAACATCAACACTAAGACCCTCCTTGACCCTCATCCCTTATCACCCCACCTACAAGATCTTCCCTGAATAAAATAGAAGATGAGTGTAAATAGCTCATGCAGAAGTCTGGACTGATTTTGATTAAACATTGAGGAACAATGCTTTTTGGCAATGAGACCTCATTGGGATGCTGTAGTTAAAGGTCAGCTTCAAACTTAACAAAGGGGGTGATTGAACCGCCAACCTTGTTACTAGGGAAAACCTGCTTTATCTTCTGAGCCACAGCCATTGTAACATATTATTTTTAGAATTTCTGGACATTTTGTATGCTGAAATAAAATATCAAACTTTAATATATATATATGTAGCAAGTCTACTATAACCGACTATAATACATTAAGTGGAGAACAACGAGGATTGATCTTTCTCTTGTGTAAATTGATGTACACATTATCAGCAATTTATAATTCAAAGTTATTCAGAATATGATCCAAGTTTCATCATTCCTCTATTTGAAGATGGATTATTTGAGTCATGGTCTAACAATCTCTGGCAGATTATTCCTCCTCAGTGTTAATGCTGCTAAAGCCTCTTCTTTCACAAGGAGTTTATAGATGCAGAGATGCATCTGATGATGCTATAAACAGACCAGCATGTCTGTGAACTGCTTTGGTTGGAGTCCAAGTTTTGGCAGGGCAGAAGTCTGGCCTCGAACACAGTATTCGGGCAGCGTTTGGTCCTTTAAAGCACTTCCTTAAACTCATACAACATATGTGAAGAAGAAAAGACAGCAGATAGATTAACATGAGGGTGGCACAATGCTGCAAATTGGCAAGACAAATGCAAACATTGGGTATTCTGTTGGAAGACATCAAGCTGGCACTGATACCTGGAGTGAAGCAAAGAGAGATTTGTTCTTCAGCTCCACGGGTTTGAGGTCTGTGGATTGCGGATTGGGAAAGATTATGAGTGACTTGTATGTCATCAAAATGCAGATGATGCATCAAAGCAAAATCTGTCATTGTTTGTTCAACAGATTTGGCTTCTTCTCACTCACTTCTCACTGTAAGTCAGAGTAAAATGATTCACGCTGGGATTCTCAAAAGAAATCCTCTTCACACTGCAAACACTGTCAGATGTTGTGATATGCAAAAAACACAAAAGAAACTTGAAAACCGTGGCATTATCATACATTAATTACCAAGACTATGACAAAAACTGCTTCCTACTGTGCTTCACATACAATACAACCATTGCAAAATACTGTCAGGCATGAATTAGAACAGGGTTAAAGAGGAATAAATCCGGCATATATGATGAATTGATGTAGCATACTCAATTTGGATAGAAGGACCAGTGTGTAGGATTTAGTGATATCTAGTGGTGTAGTTTCATATTGCAACTCCCTTGATTCAGACTCCCTTTCCAAGCACAAAGGAGAAACTATGGTGGACGTGAAACCAACAAACAACTGCTAGGGCCTCTGTAGATAAAACATGCTCATTCTAAGATAACAACAATTCTTAGTTTTATTTGATTATGCTAATGAAAACATGTAGTAGTGACAATAATAATTAAATAAATCAGTTTAATGACAACCTTACCCGTTTCCTTTTGCTAATTCAGTTTGACTGCATCTGACATAGAATGCTATTTGTCTCAGTTTCTGAATTATTAAGTACAGAATAGGCCACTTTGATTGTTTGGATTAAAAAAAATTACCTCATAAACAATACGAGTCTGTAATATTTTGAATGCAAGTGAGATTAGTAATGCGGCCGAGAATTATTGTCGTGACGAGTTGTCTTGAAAAGCAGAGGTTACTTAAAAAAAACACCATTAACCTAAAAACAAATATGATAAAATGTATGTATTACAGAAAAGAACCAATGTTAAAAAAGTATTTTTTCTGTTTTGCCATTGGTAACTTTAAAATATAAATTTATTTTGGGACAGTGGGCTATGTTTAAGTGAGAGTGAAAGACAAAACCCTTTGGCCTACAGCACAGATCCTTTATGATTTCAGACCAGACTTCTCAGTGTGACATACTGATGAGGGACAGAGAGCATATAAAACCAAGAATTATATTCTTGGGACCAGGAAGGACAACGCCACAGTAAAATGCAAGCGGTGTTGAATATAGAACAGAAAACAGGAAGTGAGTCACCAAGATGAATTCTAGTGATAAAGCGAAAGCAAAAACTGAACTAATACAACAAATACACATTACAAACTACAGTAGTTTCGTCTTCTTTCAAATAACTTCTGTCCCAGGTACCAAAGATGAAATTGTTCTTAAGCTAACTTTGATGAAATATATAAAATCTAGTTACTCTTAAGTGAATACATAAAAAATAAATATATAGCCAATAGCCTATTTATTAAAATTATTCAAAATATGCACAGGATTGGTTGAAACAGATAATACTACTCTTGTTTTTTCATCTTTTCATGAACTTTCAGATCTGTTTCCATTTCAGTCTCTATCAACAGATACCAAGAAGTCAAACAGCTGAAAGAGGAACTCTAAATAGAGGAGTTAGCTTTTACACATCATGCTAACATTGTGAAACTGTGTGTGGTTTGACAGGAAAAACACAGCTATGACTTTAACCCTGTGGTGTGTTAGAGAAAAACAGAACGGACAAATTAATGCAGTCAGACAGGGCAACCAACTCTATAATGTCTATCTTTGTGATACTGGGACTGCTGGTCTGCACAGAGGCACAAGGTAGGACAATTACATGATATTTACAGACACAGAAATAATGAATGCCTTGTTTTCAACACCAAGCCAACACCTCTGCACTTCTCTGACATGTGAGCTAAAAAAAACAAATTAAATACTGACAGTAAACTGAAGTAAATGTTATCTTAATGTGAAGGCTTCTGAGCGATTTGGATACATTGCAGTAATTTTGCAGAAGTTTTCCCTTCATATACACACAGACGTAACAATTTGAGGTTCTTGCTCAAGGCCGATTTGACACATCGACAGAAGGAGCAAAGGATCAAAGCTGGCGAACAATAAGTGGAAGAAGGAAGAAAAAGAGGTTGACTAAAGATATTTAGTAACATCATGGGGCATTCTGTGTTAAGACTCATTATCATTAGTACATTAGTAGTAGTAAATGGACCTGTACTTGTATAATTACATGCCACATTCGCCCTTTCATACACAATCACACGCCGATGCACAGCAATCAGTATCTTGCTCAAGGATACTTCGACATGTGCCGGGAGGAGCTGGGGATCGAACCAACAACCTTCCAATTAGGGAATGACCCGCGCTGCCTCTGCGCCACATTAGTCGTAATAGTTGAAAGAAGAATGGTGTAAAACTTTGTATTACATTTCTGATCACTTCAAGTTTTAAACATACTAAAGCTGAATACAATGTCAGTGAACCAAAGCAGCCAAAACAATGAGCTGAAAGATTAAAAAGGTCCATTGAAGTGAAGGGAAGTGCTGAGACAGGTGATCATTTTCTGTGGTTTTGCTGCTATGAGCAACACCTTTCACGTACATGATATATTGCCAATACAGACGTATTGATTACAGCGGTTTTAAGTATACAAATGATGTTGATATCTGTTCTTTCTGCAGGTACCAGCACTGGGACTCCTGTGTTTGTGCAGACAGGAAAAGATTTATTCCTGGAGGTCAACAAACCTGTTACTCCACTACTACAAGAAAAAGACTTTGATTTTAGATTTACACTTAATGACATTAAAAATATTGTAAAATTTTCTACTGGTGGGCTTCCAAAATTGTTTCACAATAGAGCTGAATTCGATAAAGAAAATTACACTTTAGTCTTGAAGAATGTACAAAAGACTGACAGTGGAGAATACACTGCATATGTTTCTGGTCAACAAGACCAACAAGTAGCTAAATACAAGGTCACAGTTATGGGTAAGTTTCTTAACATTTCAAATGTTGACATACAGCAGTACCCTGTTATAAAACCCTTCACACCTGAATGTTTTTATCTTCCAGATCCAGTGTCTCCAGTTAAGCTGGAGGTGAACTCCAGCAGCTCATGTAACCTCACTGTGATCTGCAGTACAACAGACTCTCACATCAGCAGCACTTACAGGTGTGTCAACCAAACCTGCTCTCTGGAGGGAGAAGAGAGATCAGAGGACACAACCTATCCTTCTTTTATCAAAGTCTACCTGCAGCAAGGCTACATCATCTGTAACCATAGCAACCAGGTCAGCTGGGAGCAGGACACGCGGGAGATTAAACCTCTCTGTGAGACACAAACAGGTACGATTAAAAGACTTAAACAAATGTTACGCAGGGACATTAAAATAACAGTTCTTGATAATGACGCACAGTTTAGAAGCAGGTTAAAGTTAGTCATTACATAAGCTTCTTTTAAAGAAAACTTTTTAGTCTCAATAATAATGAAATAAATCAGTTAAATGACAACCTAACCAGTTTCTTTTTGCTAATTCATTTTTGCAATACAAAACAATATATCAGCATAAAACTATTATCAAGCTGGTTAACAATGCATGATGCATATGGACAGTCTGAAAACTCAACTACACTTTACATATATTTTGTACAAAGTACACACAATAACACACAATGCTATCTAAACACAGTGAGTGGAATAACTGATTAGTTCTTGTGCTGTAATATGACTCACCATCTGGATCAGTTTTGTATTAAAATTTGCTGTTTTGCTGTGTTTCAGGTTCACAGTCTGTCTCTGTGTGTCTGGTGAAGACAGTCGTGTTGTCTGTCGGCCTGATCATCATGGTGTCTGCAGTCATCAGCGTTCATATCATGGAGAAGCGCAGGAAGCAAAAGTAAACAAATAGTTCTCTACCAACCAATCTTTTTAATGCTATTCCCCCGATCTACATTTGGTGGTGGTAACGCACCAAGAAATGTATGTAGAAGACAGCAAGCAAAGCCTCACACACTAAACAGGGATGCTCTTGTTAGAGCTGAGAGGAGGATCATATGGAAATCCAGGTTTGAGAGCAGATTACATTACAAAACCATAAAAATGTATATTATATTTCCTCCGTTGTGCCATACATTGACACTATCATGTAGTAAGTAAAAAACTGTAAGCGGAAGATAGAAACTGTTCACTGATGTGTCACACAGATACCGACCAGCATTTTAAATGTATATATTTGGTTTGTTTTATGTTTAGGTTTTTAGATATCCACCTCTAAAAAACGTTTCACCCTCTGTTTACCCTTTTTAGGTTTTCATACTATATATAGGATATCTCATATCTGACTGTACTCAAACATATAAGACTTGTGAAATATATTAAAATTTTAAAGCATAATTTAACATAAAATTTGTCATTTAGAAGAGTACATTATAGCATGACTGTGTGTTCCTGTTCTGAAATGTGCATATATAAATAAAACTGCCTTGCCTTGTATCCAATTCTCTCCCATGTTTCCTTTAAAGATACTAAATGTATGTATTACACAATAGGACCAATGTTAAAAAAGTATTTATTCTGTTTTGCCATTGGTAACTTTAAAATATACATTTATTCTGGGACAGTGGGCTACGTTTAAGCATCCTATTAACTGGCCTTTTACCAGCACCCGGACTGAAAGGCTTCTTGTTGATGGTTGTTAAGTCAGTTTCCACATGAGAGTGAAAGACAAAACCCTTTGGCCTACAGCACAGATCCTTTATAATTTCAGACCAGACTTCTCAGTGTGACGTACTGATAAAAGAGAGAGAGCAGGAAGGACAATGTCAGGAATTGGTTTCAAGTGCAGTGAGCCACCAAGATGAATTCTAGTGTTATAGTGAAGCAAAAACTGAACTAACAGAACAAATACACAGTACAAACTACAGTTGTTTCTTCTTCTTTCAAATAACTTTTGACCCAGGTACCAAAGATGAAATTATTCTTAAGCTAACTTTGATGAAATATATAAAAACTAGTTACTCTTAAGTGAATACATAAAACATAAATATATAGCTAATAGCCTATTCATTTAATTTTTCATAATATGCAGAGGATTAGTTGTGTTACGTATGTGTGTTTTGCCTCTGCTCTGTCCTGTGCCCTGTTCCAGGTACCGCCCTCCCCTCCGACTGGTCAGGCACACCTGCAGTAGATTTAACGATCATAAGATTGCTTTAAAACTACGACAACGGAAGCAGACGAGGCCAGTGGGCCAAACCACAAGATGGTGTTGTGAGGCTGTCGGTTGTGAAGCAGAGCTGTATGGTGCTGTGTGTCGTGTGTCATTATCATTACTCCCTCAGTGGAGGGATAGCATTATTCATATTTATTTGTTGGACCAGTGGTTGGTTTGTTTAGTTTAAATGTTTTTTGTTTATTGAACTCATTTACTTTTAAATAAATAGTTTACTAGTACAAATCTTTCTGTTTCCTTTCTTTAACACCCGGTTAATTATTAATTGTTGCGCCTCTCTTCCCCTGGACTAACAGATAATACG